TGAAGGTCCCACTGTTTCCCTTCAGTGCCATTGTAGGGACCAGGCTTTAACAGGAAAGCCTTGGCAGGCATTTGAGAGCCAAACTTTAAGCCTAACTTGATTAGTCCTCCAGAACTCATTAATATCCATACCGATGAGATTTAATAGCCATGATGATACGTAGAGATGGTTAAACAATCTGGCTATGATGTTTTGAGGTAGGGCCTGTGGGAGGTGACTGGGATTAGAGGAAGTTATTAGTGTGGAGCCCTGTGGTGGTTTCAATAAAAATGGCCCTCGTAGCCCCATGGGGAGTGGCACTATTAGAAGGAGTATGAAGAAGGATGCTTAAAAGAAATCCCACACTAGCTGAGAATTGAGTAAATAGAGGGTTATTTATTTAGGGGTAGACTCACAGATCACAATTCTCTGCTGGAACAGGGAACAGCAGCCGAATCCTGCAGTGGGAAAAGAGGCCGGATGTGTGTTTTACATCAGCATATATAGTATAAGAGACCATGCCCAAGTGGGTGGTGTAATAATAAGGGCGGCGGGGCTGCGTCCCCAGCACCCCAGCTGCCTGCTCGGCTAGCTTATGCTCCGAAATAACAACACACAAACTGTTTTCATTTAAGCACTGCTTGGCCCATTCTCTTCTAGGCTCTTTCTCACATATTAATTTAGCCCATTTCTAATCATCTGTGTTGCGCCCCTAGGTGCGCTTACCGGGAAGATTCTAGCCTATGTCCATCCTGGGTCGGAGCTTCTTAGCGTGCGTCTGCCCAGGAGCCAGGAGCATGGCGTCTCTCTCAGGCGTCTGCTCCCGAGAGGAAAGCGGTCCAGTCTCTGAGCTCACTTCCTCTTCCAGCATTTTGTTCTGTTTACTCCTCCCACCTATCCTCTAACCAATAAAATGGGTCAGGGCAGTTCCTTTATTAGCCAATGACCTTCCTCCATCAGGGTGGGTACAGTAGGAGTGGGTATGGCTTTGATGGAGGAGATGTGTCACTAGGAGGTGAGCTCTTGGGTCTCAGATTCGGCCCAGTGTGGCAGTCTCTTCCTCCTGCCTGCAGATCCAGATATGTAACTCCCAGAACCATGTCTGCCCTGATGCTGCCATGATTCCCACCATGATTATAATGAACTAAGCCTCTGAACCATAAGCCTGCCCCAGTTAAATGTTTTCCTTTATAAGAGTTGCTGTGGTCATGGTGTCTCTTCACAGCAATAAAACCTTAAGACAAATCTTCACAAATGAATATTGCTGGTTTTTATAGAATGTTGGGGTCACTTCTTTCGTGTTTTTTTTGGGGGGTTGACCCGTCAGCTCCACATTGTGGGTGCCAATATGTTGGGGACCATTCCAGACATAAACCATTTTTGGTACCAGAGTGGAGGTGTGGGATTAAATAGGCACAGTTTACACGACAATATTGGGAGGGAGTCTCAGGGTTCACTTAAATTCTGGCGATTGCCCACGTTTATTATCCGAACAGCTTTTATATCAAAACATAAACTGAGGGGAAAATTTATTAGCATTTTGTTTCCTAGGTGTGGGGGGGGATGACTTAGGTCATGTCTATGTTTGTGTTGTCACGGCCATGCCCATGCCCATTTTGTCATGTAGACTTCCCCAGGCGACCTCCTAAATTACAATAGAAGGAGCAGAATAACATTACATATCCTGGCCACTTGTTTAGGATGGTGTCAGGTTGTTTTTAGTATCATAAGGCTAGGCAACCACCTTCTGTATGGCAGGTACAAATTGCACCTTATAGGTGGCTCATAATTCTCTGACCACCAGACAATGTAGGAATATGGGCCTGTATAATTCAGCCCCTCAATAGAAGAGACCAGAACACATTCACCCACCCACCCACCCACCCACACCCATATGCATGCACATGCACACATTCCTGGCCTCTTGCCATATTCTTCCTTGTACCGCACTGTGCGCCTGAATGAACAGATTATGACCAAATGCAGCTCCTTGACCATGTTACCTGTGGAAATATGAGTCAAAATAAACCTTGTCCCAGCATTTCAACTAGTCTAGGTGTTGTATTACTTTCCAGTAATACAAAACAAAGTAGAAAAATACAGTGACGTTGAGCAGAAGAATAGGATGTAGACAGAGTCAGCGCAGAGACGGCCATGTGACCCGTCAGGAGGATTGTTGCTGCCTTCAAAAGAGCCAAAACATGAGCAATCATTACCATGCAGGCATTCAGACACAGAGTGGGCCACTTCAGAACCCTCACTATAGGGAGGATCCTGCGTCTGAGCTGGGCACCTAACTGTAGCTGGGGATTGCCCCCAAGTGGCTAGGAATGGCTGATGGCTGGCAGAGTGCAGGGGCCAGGAATGACATGGAATGAAGATTCTACTTGAAAGTGGTCCAGAGCATGGATTCCGAAGACTTATCTCTGCTGCACTACCTGCGACCACAGGCTCCTTTCATTTTTATTTATTTTTTATTTTAGACACATCTTTGGCCCTTAGTGTATTCATCTGTACTATGGCCATTTTAATCATAGCTGCCTCACAGGGACGTTACGCTTCATCAAATGTTCCAAACACTATGCGGCTCACAGAAAGTGCTAAGTGAGGAGAAGGCAGCATCCTCACTGCTCCGCCGGGAGATGAGCTGACGCTGTGATGTACCCTTGGGTAGTAGCAGGGGTGACCGCAAAGCTAGCACCCCAACTCCACTCTGATGAGGACTCAAGCCTGATTCCTGTGGATATCAGCAGGGACAGGTTCATACTAAAATTTCAAGAGCCCATGGCCCCACACTGATGTCCTCTCAGGGCAGGAGGGCAGGCAGTCTCCTCCTAGAGCACACGGCTTGGCAGATAGCAGAAGTTAGCACAGAGGTGACAGTGCCTAACAGGGAACATGGGCTGGGAGCTGACTGGGCTTGCTGTTGGCTCCATGCCAGACACCCTTGAGATTGCTCAAAATAGCTGAGGGGGGCCTGAGCAAGGGGCGGAAAGTCCCATGTTTGCAGAAGGTGGCATGCGTAGGCTTATGAATACTGGTCTCGTGGTGGAGAGGGCTCAGATGACAGAAAGAGTTGGCGTGGGTCCCAACCCTGCCGCTAACTGGACTTAAATGATTGGGAGAGCAAGTTCATCTTATTCATTACTGAGTATATGGACAGATTTAGTGTTCTGATGGCTAAGTGTCACATCTTCGAGCCTCAGTTTCCCAGCTATGTGTATCTATATTATATATCCCCATCTGGGGGATACAATGACCTCCCATACAGACGAGGCCCATTGGCATCTGAGTTTCCCAGTGAGTTATGATCACTTCTTTTTTATTGTAAATATCCAGTTTATTGGTTCCATAGAAATGGTGTGCATTTGTTGATGTAAACGAACCGTGTTTTCGTGCAGTAGAGTGTTCTGGTGAAGTGAATACAGCTGGCCAAGGATGAGATCCTTTAAAGGAAGCAACTTCACCTCTTTTCGGCTTTCCCTCAACAAGACGGGGGCTTTGCAACACTTAGTTTTGACCCAGTGCTTTCTCTCAAAGCTCAAAGCATTAACTCTCCAGTTACAGATGAGCAAAATGTTCCAAACTGTATACTCCGTACCTGAAAACATCATTATTCGAGGCTGAAACATTGTAATGTAAGAACAGATACTAATTAGAATCTAAGAATTTAGAGTGTGTTAACGCCACACGTTCTTTGCCTGTGAATGCACAAGGAGGCCAGAGGTTGTTATCAAGTGTCTTTCTCTATCACTCTCCATCTTACATTTTGAGACAGGGTGGGGGGGAACCCCCCACATCTCTCTCTGAACCATTTCTATGAGACTGGCTAGCCAGCACGTCATCAGGATCCCCCATCCCTGTCCTTGACTTCCAGCTCCAGGGTTACAGCCCTGCACTGCCAGGCTTTTACGTGGGTGCCCATCCAGATTCAGGGGAGCAACTGGATCACAGGGAAGTTGTCTGTCAGTGTGAAACAGCGGCTGCGGAGATTTGTTTTGCCTTGTTTTCAGAGGTGTCAGTCCATGGTCTTGCTTCTCATGGTCCCATAGTAGAACTGGAAAGCCAAGGAAGTCGCTCATCTTGTGCAGCTGAAAAGCAAAAGACACAGGAGGGTCCTGGTCCCCAAACTTCAAAGATTTGCCTTCAATTGCCTAATTTCCTTCTACTAGGCCCCACCTTGCGAAGACCTCACAATAACCCTAGGAGTGCACAGACTGCTGACCAGGCCTTGATACCGGAGCCTCCGAGGGACACATATCCAGACGACATCACTGAAAACAGCCAATAGTAGTGGCTTGTTCCATGTTTGTTCTCCATTCCTTGTGATGTCCCAGCAAGTCTTTGATGCTGTGTAGCCAGGCAATTAACTGGATTAAACCTGATTTTCAGTATACATTCATCATCGAGTCAATCATGTCTAGGAGGTCCTTGTGGTGTATGGGTCAGGAGTTCAAGGCCAGCTTGAGCTACATAGTAAGTTCGAAGCCTGCCAGGACTCGATTAGGCTAGGTCTCAAGGGGAAGAAAGAAAACATTTTTTTTTTTTATTTTGCAGCTGTTTCACTCTTCCCATATGGAGCAAAATGCATGAGATTTGCTGTGGCTATTTCCTTCAAAAGCAAAATAACATTTGCTTAGCTTCTTGAGGTTGAAATTATACTCTGGATGGCTGAAATCGCCTGCTAATTAGCTGTCAGGCAAGGATGAATATGCTGAATTTAATTTTTTGAAATGGAATGAAGCAAACACCACGTGCACGCTAATGCCAAAGCGCGTTAATGTGACTGGATTCTGCTTGCTGTCTCTCTCGCTGAATCAAAATGTTTACTTGTACCTCGGCTGGGTGAAACACACAGAATATTTGGGAATGAAATCAGTGCTCAGAAGGTTTGTTCAATGCTAACGCTTTCCCAGCTTATTTCAAGATCAGAGCGACCTTCCTGTGCTACGGAAAATATTATTTATTGATGGGGGATACAATTTCATTAAAAACAAGTCAGAGCTACTTAATATGACCAATAAAAATGAACCCAGTGGTCTGGAGAGCAAAATATCTCAAAATGTAAATCACCACAGCTAGACACAAGCTTTTAACCACTTTAATTGGTAGAATTATAATTGGTATGCAATAGATCTTACAACAAATGTAGATATGATGTCATCAGATATCAAAGATGTTGCACACCTTCTCCGCTTTCAATGGTGTCAGCTAACTTAGTCCAAGAGAGAAATGTGGCAAAGAGCGAATATCAGCTAACCTTTCCAGGATTGGAGTTGAAATGGAACATCCATTTGCCTTCAAAAGAAGGTCAAAGGCAAAGGAGAATCGACGTGCAAATTAGCATCTGGACCATTTGCAAGTTTTCAAGATGCCCAGGATTGAACCATGCACCCTTGCAAGCAAGATGAAGGGCAAACAGATCATATTAGACAACGGTTTACTCCTCGGGGTGTGCAAGCCATAGGTCTTCTGCCTTTAGTGCTCAGGCATCCATGGTCATCCTAACCTGGATCCCCATGCACGCCTGTGAGACCTGTGTCCTGGGCCATCTTTACAGTCAGAGGGGAGACCATTCTTTGTGGTCCTAGGACCAGGTGACCCTGCATCATGCAGATGCATGGGGGTGGGGGGGGGGAGTTCAGAGCTCTGATGGCCATCTGATGTGGCCATGACATTAACTGGAGCATTATAGAATAAGTAAAAATGGCACGCCAGTATAACAGCACATAAGAAACTGAGATCACTTATTTATCTATATAATACTTGAAATGTCCATAAATAGCTTCTCTCCGGAAAATGAAAACACTGTTGACACAATTTCATTAATCCTCACAATATGTCTGTGAGGTAGGAAGGGGCGAGACTACTAAGAAGGCATCACCCCCATTTTACAAATGAAGACACAGCTGGGCAGGGAGGACTGGGGGTCCCGCCGGGGTCCCAGGAAAAGAAAGCAGAGTTGCGTATCATTCTGCAGTCCATTGAGAAGAGGCTCCTAGCTCACTTTCTTCTCCAACTTTCTCTCTAAAGTATTGAGCCAGTCCTATCCATGATGGGTTGTAACTGTTTAGATTTACTAGGGCCACTAATTTCCCTTGTATAGACTTGAACTAACTCTCCCTGAGGTAAAGGATATCAATTATTGGCATATATTTCAGAGGTGTGTGTGTGTGTGTGTGTGTGTGTGTGTGTGCGCGCGCGCATGCGTGAGTGCATGCGTCTCTCTCTCTCTCTCTCTCTCTCTCTCTCTCTCTCTCTCTCTCTGTGTGTGTGTGTGTGTTTGTAGAATAAAGATGCTGGGATCTCTCTAGACCAATTCAAGAGAAGAAAAATATATTTGGCAAAATAAATTCTCACATGTACACATTTTATACTATCAAGCAAAGCAAGGGTCATGCTTTGAGTTTTGAGGGGACGCTGTCACCTCACTGCATATGACTGTGCTGTGTTTTGCTGGAAGTAATTGGGTGTTAATCAGAGAAAAAGCAGTCACGTGTTCATGCACAATGGCATCCTTTGGCATAAAAAAACAATTCTTGGTGTGTCCTTGGTTTCTAACAGGTGAGGATTCTGGGAGGGAAGCTGGTTCCTCTGGCCTAGGACTGACCCCAGAAGGGATTCCTGAAGTACAGTCTCGTAAAGTGTTTCATGGAGAGCTTTGTGTCATGTGTCAAAAAAGGTTTTGGGCTGGGGAGGAAAATGAGATGTAGAATGCCCTGTCCTTTGCCTAACTGGAGACCTGTGAAGCAATCAGGCTAGCGATGAGGGACAGCTGTTAATGTCAAGCATGGCCAGAGGGCATACCCTTGTAGTTTTTATGAGGAGGTTCGTGTGTGTGTGTGTGTGTGTGTGTGCGCGCCCTTGTGTGTTCATATTCAGGGTTATCTTAATTTCTGCGAACTCCTCTCTGCTTGCAGATGACCTCTGATGATCGCTCTTTTCTTTTGGCACCTCTGAGATTTAGGAAGATTTTCCCCCAGCACCTGGGTGGCAGGCTGTGGGCAGTACCCCTATTTGTGATCTCCACACCAGAGGGGTAGAGGATTGCACTATAGTGATCTTTTATTTATTTTTTTTCAACAGAGTGGTGGGGCAGGATCTGTCTGAGGAATTAAAAACTGATGGTTTCTTGTTCTCTGTGACATCATAGGACACGGTAACATATTTTAAGACGCATGCTCTCTACTACATGAAATCGGAGATGCTGGGTCCCAGGATCAGATGCTGCTCACCAGCGGTGCAGCCCTGTAGCGAAGCTCTCTAGAAACACCAACAATATAAGGCAACTGCACATGCCGGACAGCAACCCATCTGTCAACAAGCTACCACTCTGGAGGAAAAAAAAAGTGATGTTTCACTTTGTTAAAAATGAAAGGGTTTTACTGATGTGTGAGTGTCTTTTGACATCACAAGGACATCACAAGACATCTTGGTCTCAATGTCAGCCTTTGATGTGTCGGTCTAGAAGGCTCTTTGTGGTCGCAGCTCGTTCTGTGCAAAGGAGCCACAGCCTCCACTCCTTAGCAGTGTTTCAAGATAAGTGGTAGCAGTCAAAAATTGCCACCGGACATTTTCAAATGTTCCTGGCTGGGGGCCGGGGGAGACAAAATCACTTCCTGATGGTTAATAAGTGAAATAAACAAATGCCGGTGGAGGAAAACGTCTATTTCTCAAAATTTGTTGTACAGGATTTTGAGACTAGAGACCCAGCAGTGTTCTTTTATTAAAAGGAAGAATGAGTAAGGTAGATAGATGTTAGGGGGAATAAGCAGGCAATTCTCGGTGTCTATTTCCTATGGAAGGTTAATTGTCTTTTTAAACATTGTTTTAAAATAGCATATAGTCATTCCCCAACCCGTTGCTTTATGTGTGCGAAGTGAGAGTTCTCTGGGCTCCTCCAGGATTTAGGTATCTCCCACTACCATGGGGAGCTGGCTCCTACTTCCTTCAAGAGGGTCCCTGTGAGCTTTGGTCCCTCCCTTCTTCCCCCATCCTTATTCTCCACATTCCTCTCCCTTGCTGTTCTTCAAGCTCACCTCTGAGTCTCTCTTTTCAAACTGTGCTGTAACTGTTCTAAAAGCCAGTGGCTGGAATCCCCATTGCCTTCCAGTGGCCTGGATGGGGAATGTGCTAGGATCCCTATTTCTTTTCAGTGGCCTGGGTGGGGAGAACAGGTTGAGAGCCTGCTGGGCTCCTCCTGGGTACAGCCATCTTTCATCTTTCCTAATTAGGCAGCTAAGAGTTGTCTATCTGCTTGTAGGACCAAGTAGGCATCCTGTCAGATACAGCCAGGCAAAGAAGGATTACAAAGAAATCAAGAAGCCCTTGCTTCCTCCACACAGGGTGATAGCCTTCAGGGATTCCTTTCTCTTCTTCCCACTGATCCTCCGTGTAATTTCCTATAGAGAAGATTAAGAAATAACCCAAACCAAAAGTTCCCCTCAAAACTAAATCCCCAACAGGGCAGCCCGAGCCCTTTTCCTCAGTCCTTTCGATGAGTCTTGCGGTGGGGGCTGCAGCCACCACCTCATGGTGTCCAGCCTGCTCAGTGCAAAGATGGCCCGTGCCAGCTGCAAATCAGCCTCCATTGGCCTGTACAAAATGGTTCTTTTGTACCAGAAGGGGGATGTTGTAGTAGCAGCCAGAGGAGAGGGAGGAGAAAACAAAAAACAAAACAAAAAAACAACCATACCAACAAAACAGGGCTTGCGATTGTCGTTCAATGAGCATCAAGTACTTGTTATTAATTCTACTGGATAAGCACTTATAAATAAAGGACTGCTATTTCTTGTGCCCAGCCACCTTCCTTTGTTAGGAGTCGTCATAGAGCGGGTTGTTGTAGTTTCCCCAGGACCCGTAGTCGTGGTCGTCCAGCAGCCTTCCGTAGGAGGAATGCCTGTGTGAGAAGAAGATGATGTCACTTGTAGATGTGCCATCTGAGGACAAGTTAACACCCCTAGCCTGAACCCAGGATGCTCACAGGTCCGTGGGAGGGAAAGGCATGAGATTGGCCAGCAGGATAAGCCTGGACTATGCTGACCCTAGTTATCAACATCCACCTAAGAGCCGGCCTGGCCCTTTCTGTTGAGATTGGCTGAGTCTTTTTCTCCTTCATCTCCAGTGCACGAGAAGGGAGGGGAGGCTCAATCTCCACAGCTGTCCAGTAAGAAAGGAAGGGAAGGGAAGCTAGGGGCCCAGGATCTTGATGTAGGTCCCGGGGCTAATTTTCCCTAGAGTGATATCCACACAGTCACAGATGCTACTGCTGTTACCACTGCTCTTGGTGTCTCCTTGTCATTTGTAAAGTGAGTCTAGACTCAGTTTTTAGTAGATCCTCAAAATCAAGACTGGGGGAAAGAAGTGTTTCTCTGATGAGGAAAATGGCCTTCGGGAAGTGTAATTGATCTGCTCCGTAATTGCTCTTCTTCTTCAGCTAGACTACGTGTTTCATGAGGGTAGCTATAATTTGCTTGTTATGTTTATTCATGGTTCTATTTCTAGCATCTACAAGATCTGGCACACGGTAAGTCATCCATAAGGGTCTGCGGAAGACACGGGAACTGACTAAGATGTATCCTGAGTTCTCACAAAAGCGAATCTCTTCACAAAGACGGGCGCTTCCCTGGGAATGGCATGGACATTCAAAGACTAAAATGAACGACAGAATCGAAACAACAACATAAACACGCACATGGTGCCTCTGAGGTTCATGCTAGTGTGTGAATTCTTACACATGTCATAGCCGCCCACAATGTCAATGCCCCACCGGAGCCTGGGTAGGCTGCCCTCTTTGCCAGGCTGAGGTGACAATCACACTCTGAGAGCCTGAGGGATAAGAGCTGAATTTATACCTAGGGGGGCTGAGATTGAATTGGAAATCATGGATGCTAACTACAGCACAGAAAAACATGCCCAGTCCCCAAAGTCTTCTCTCAGTCAGAAGCGAACAGTAAGCAAAGTAGAAACACAACCGGAGGGACACAAAAGACCTTTGCTCCACTTCCATAGGCTACGAAACCACTTGCCCTTCCCCTGCAGCTTACTGACTTCAGCCAGGGATTGGCAGAGACGGCAGTCTGTCAAAAAAGACCCTCACTGTATTAGACTTCCTGTAAGCTGACTCGGTGGACCCTATCTTTCTCCATGGAAACTTGAAAATGCCCCACAAAACAGTCTGTTTACACTGTCAGCTCACAATCACATGTATGTGGATGTGGCAAAGAGAGGGTACACAAGGAGCAGGCTAGACACGCTATAGCCCTTTCGATACACAGGAAGAGCAGAGGCCATTTTGGTAAGTGAAGATCATGTGCTAGTCATGGCCAACGGTCCACTTATTTAACAACCTCCTGTTCCAAACAACCACTAGTCGGATAACTGAGAAACAGGAGCTGCCCCATGAGAAAATAAAACCCCAGGCATTGTAACGCTGCCGTCCACCCTGTGTTTCAGCATGACTTTACTGCTCTAAGTCCGGTAAACATTTTTCTGATAACCCTGTGCCTTCATTGATAGGGAGCCCCTGCTTCGCCTTGTGAAGGTAATTTAACGTCTTGTGGCATTTTAATCTCTTTCATATAATTTTATTCTCATAAACTGTCAGTTTGGTCAATAGATGTATGTCCTGAGTAGGTTTTTGACCCCTTTGTTCCTTCATTTATGAAATGGACACTTAAAAAATGCATTCAAGTTGTTAGAAGGAGGCAATGAGGTAATGCGTTTTAAAGGCTTGGCACACAATAAACATTGGCCTTTGTAGCTTTTATTATAATGCAACTCACACAGGCCCATGCTAAGCCTGACACAGGGACACAGTGCAGAACCACGGAAGCTATACTGCAGGCATAGGAAGAAATCCAGTTTCTGACATTCTTGTCATTTGAATCTTATAAAATGTTACTATGGCAAAGTGAGGCCAAAGGACTAACACTCCTCTGGTTGCTTTGGGCCCTTGGGACAATGCTAGCCCTGAGTCCGCTGCATTGAGAGAGGCATCTACGTTACAAACATGAGGAGAATGAAGAAAAGCACCAGACTTGGCTTCCCTTTTGTCACCTCTGCATTTGACCAGTGAGTGCTGTTGAGTGAGGAAAGAAATGCGAGGGATATGGACATACAAAAATGGGGCGGGGGGGGGGGATAAAAAGACAAAAACGGGAAATGCACTGAATCTGCAAGGTTTGCTCTTAACACATTCAGGGGCTAGAACAAGAACTGGGATTCTTGTGGGGGTTCAGGCTGGGCTTGGGTAAATCTGAGGTTGCTGTGGGCAGAGGAAGTGAAACTCAGTTGTGGGTACCTGATGAGGGGAGAATAGTTGGTGCTTAGTGCCAGAGCTTAAGTCATGGCCCATTTTGATTGACGTGGTGCGCTTTCCAGAGGGGCATGTGCAGGCAGAGTCTAAGACATAAAAGAACAAAGTCCTCCTTGGCTAACGTTAGGAAAGGCAGACAGAAGGAGTTTAGAGGGCTTTGTCACTATTATTTATGGGGGACCTGATAATAAAAACCTTCTTTTGACTCTGTAGGACAACATCCTGTATCTAATTTCAATCTGAGGAGCCGTCGGCATGAGTGACATTATTCTTGAGTAAAAGCAATTTCGTTTATGTGATTTCTCAATACAGATGAGTACCTGCCCTGTGTTTTTCATTTAGGAATTGGTTCCTCTTAAATGAACTATCGGTACCTATCTGTACACTGAACGTGTTAAGCTTGATGTTATGGTTAATAGGGTAAATATTTGGAGGCGACAGTTTATATCTAGTAGCAAAGAAACTGTGTAGCTGTCAACGTGGTCAATACTAGAGAGGGTTCTTAGGGCTTGTGGCGATGTTATACAAAGCTGGCAACGTGAGGGAAAATCAGTCAAGAATGCTGGAGGTCAAAGGCTCCACTCGACTTAAAGAGAGGAAGGAGGAGGAGAATTATAGCCAGACCCCATGCTACGCTGTGGCTCTGCAGCACTTAGCTCAGAGCCCACAGTGCCCACAGTCAATGGCGCTACCTTCTCGTCTGTGCTTCTCCTGTGCACAAGGTTCAGTTAGCTAAAGGCAGACCCTGAGAGGGAAAATTGACCAGGCTCTTGTTTTACCTTCTTTTCTTTTTGTCATTTCTTTATCGTCCTTGATGCTAAGTGTGGTGCTTCACTTTCTTGGAGTCTAAACAAATATTTTTAGAAAACCCCTGCTGGTTTTCCAAGGGCACACCCAAAGCCTCCACCCCACTCTTTTGGCAGGGGAGACCCACTTGTCAATCATCAGTGCTTACCATGAGCCAAGCAGGAAGGAAGGAAACACAGACATTATGAGAGGGTTTATTTCAGGGAAAATGCCCTGACTTCCATTAGCAAAGATGTCTGGTGTGGCGGTCATTGTCTCCTTTCTCAGTTTAGACCAGTGACTCCCGATGTCTAACGACCACATCCCTGCCTGGATCCTTTCAGTGAACTATTCATTAAAAACTTACTCTAAAGGAACCTGATTTTGGAAACCTGGGGACACCTTGACCAACTAGATACACTTAAATACCTGTCTTCAGGGACCTCACGTTCTGAGATGGGGCACAATAGCTAGGTTACAAATAATTATGTGGTAGGTGGGGTAAATGTCATGGGGAAAATAAAGCAAGGCATGAGGCATTCCCAGTGGGAGGTGGGCTTTGCAGTTCTGAATGGTGGCCGAGAAAGACTCATGAAGGCATCATTTGAATAGACACCTGAGGCAATTAGGGATGAGTTCCATGGACGTCTGGAACACACCCTAAAGACAGAGGTGGGAATGAGGGCAAAGTCTTGGGGACGGGGATACCCAACACATTTGTGCTGCATCTACCAGGCCCCTGTTAAAAAGACAATCAACTTTTCACATTGACTGTTTCAATTCATGGAAAATTAAATATTGCAGGCAGCCATGATAGTGGTGTCCGTCAGCATCATCTAAGGTCTCTGCTTTGTGTAATGATCTGTCCAAGTTAGGACATTAATGTTCTGGGGCACAGTTTTAAAGCTAAGAAAACTGAGGCCACAGGGGCCAGGCAGTGTTACTGCAGCGAGTTAGTGGCAGAGTTTACAGACTTTACAGTTCTGATCCCCACGATGGGCGCATTTCCAAACATTATTTTCAAAATCTTCTTGCATAGTCTGTTTTTATTTTTCTCAAAGCTATTATTTCCAAACATATCTTCCAATAGCCAATCACTTTCACACTACAGTTAGTTACCTGTGGGACACCATCCCACTGTTCAGACCATCACTACAGATGAGGGCTGGGGATCCAGTTTTGGAGAAGTGGTTAGTGAAAGCCTGTATGGGTTACACAAGTGGCTCCCACTTCCTCACACCTGCACCCCAACAGGCAACCCAGCCTCTAAGATTACTCTTGCTGTTGACCAACTGTAGTCCCTTGCAGTGAGTTATATTCTAAAGCTCTCGTTTCATATTTGGGTGGGGGATTAGAGGCTTTTTATGGCTCCAGCGGAAGAGGCTGGAACCCATGGTTATTTCCTGGAAAGGAAGTGGAAGGCAGCTGGAAGGTGCATCCAGGAACTCAGTATGGAAAGGGTAAGGAAGAGGCTACAAGAGGAGGCCTCACTAGAGCCAGGCAATGTGGGAATTAAAAGGCTGGATAAACCAACACCCCTTAGTTCATTCAGAGTCACTGAGATGTGAAGGGACAGGGTTGTGCATCTGGGAGACCTCCACAGCCAAGTGTTTCTTAGAAGTGTCGGGATATAAGGATAAAGCAGAATTATTCAAAGTATGATTCTTAGACCATCAGCTTGGGCATCCTTGGTGGTCTAGCTAGAAATGTGGATATAAGGACCCCGTCGAGAGCACCAAATCAGGATCAGGATCACTGGGAATTGTTTGTGATTTGCCTCCACCCCCACTGGCAATTTTATTCAGCAGAGGCCAGAAAGCCACAGAGGGGCTAGGGCTAAATGACCCCCAGAACTCCAAAAGCTAACCTGAAAATAGCATGTGGGCAACAAATTCTAAAAGACCCTGGCCTTGGCAGCTGTCCGGGGCTTGTCAGGAAAGCCAAGAACAAGCAGAAGCTGTCTGCAGTCACCGTGAGACACAAAGCAAGGCAGCGAACCTCTAACAAAGACACATGGAGAACCAGGCCCTGCTGTGTCTAAAAATCGAGATGACGTGAGTTTTTGTGAAAGGTTAGCGACGCACCTAATCACAGCGCCAGCCACTTCTGCAGATGTGGGCTCTTGTGTGGGGCGCTTATCTCCTAGCGGAGCAGATTTGAGTCATTTCCACAAAACACAACTGACTTACAGTGCTCTTCAATCCTCACTAATTAAAGGCACCCTCCTGCACGAGGTAGGGAGGGCCTCTGCTTCCCATTAAATTTGCAAATGAGCCTTGGAGTGGAGACTGCCTGGGATGTCTGCTTATGAACATCTACCACAGACGCAACCTCGTTGACGAAGAGCATCGCAAGGAAGTTGCCACACAGTGCACAGTCACACAACTGTGAACCCTTTGTGACGACCAAGTGGGGACGCCAAGGACACAGTCATTCGGCCAGCCTCTTGTTGGAATCTACCACCTCACTGAGCAGATGGGTAACACAGCAATCAGCTGCCCCGCCCCCAGCAGCTCCCTCAGCCGCCCCACAGAACATGCGCAGGTTTCCCAGTTTAATCCTTCATACTCCGGAGTTAAGTGTCTCATTATGGCACAGGGCAGATACTGCCAAGCTATGGCCTCTTTGGCACTTGACACCCATCATTCCAATTTCAAGACAAGCTCGACAGGAGAAAGGCCAGTGTGGTGCTGAGCATTAAGAGCTCCTGTTCTTCCCTTCCACATGAAACTCCTGCTGGTCGGCGGATCTCTGTGAGTTCGAGACCAGCCTGGTCTACAGAGCTAGTTCCAGGACAGGCTCCAAAGCCACAGAGAAACCCTGTCTCGAAAAACCAAAAAAAAAAAAAAAAAAAAAAGAAACTCCTGCTGGTCAAGATGGGTCCATAGCAGAAGAGCTTTAAGAAAGTTCGGGAAGGTCAATTCTATAAGCCCCATCCTATGAAGGCTCTGGGCATTAAAAGATACAGTATTCCAGGCAGTAGACACTGATAAGACTGGAGGTCAGAGGTCACTGGAGAACAGACGCGTGAAAACAAATAGCTAATGAGTTTACCAGTGCCTTTGGCGGAAACGAGCCCTTGGAGAGAAAGGGAAAGGTAAAGCCCCGTCAGCAGAGCTGGCGAGGTCTGCTGGGTTTGGGAGGCAAGGCTGCCTTTTCCAGTGGCTTTGCACTCACAGGGACATTGGCTGTAGCCTGTGGGTACAGGTCGTAAGCTAACAGCTCCCGCGTGACCTGGAATTTCAGTTGGTAGCCAGGTGATAAGAGTCCCCCAGATCAGAGAACACTTGCATGCTATTGTCCTTAGGAATATGGGATGATAGAAACAAAACAAATTTCTAGGCAAAGCCAAGCCTAATGTTACACATATGCATGTACACACATACTCATATCCACATACACACACAGACACATGCACACATATCCAACATATACACACACAGGGAGGAGCAGACATCAATGGAGCTGACTATATTTTTGATGAAGGCTCAGTCAGAGGTATTTTCCAAGAATCTGGCAAGATAACACTTAAATGGGTTTTAGCATTGTCTAAGACTCATGAAAACAATTAACCTACTTATATCACCACTTTCCCTACAAAAACATAATGGAGAAGTAGAAAGGGGTTTTCCTTAGGGGGTTTTCTAATGTTTGGGTGTGACTACCTTATCCTTACTTTTACAGTGCAAACGTGGGTAGATCAATACCTAAGCAGTACCCTATGCTCACGTCACGGTGGGTAGATCAATACCTAAGCAGTACCCTATGCTCACGTCACGGTGGGTAGATCAATACATAAGCAGTACCCTATGCTCACGTCACGGTGGGCCTTCTACGTTTGAAAAAGAGAGACGTGGGGGAGAAAAGCAAAGATTCGTTCAATTTTACCCCCAAATTTATCTGGTGTTAGGGCTGGAGAGAAATATAGTTTAAAAACAGCATTTTTACAGAGTTTTCATCAGCTCACAGAACAATTTGTAAAGGCATGCTAATTTTCTAAGTGTGGTTCATTCTCTGATAGAAGGACCCCGCTGTATCACTGAGATGGTCCCAGAGAGATGCCTGCCACATGGCTGGCAATCAGTAAACGTTTGTGTGTGCATGTGTGTGTGTGTGTGTTTATCTATGCATGTGTGACTATGTTACCAAGATTCCCTCTAGCTCACCATTTTGGTGATGATGGCAGGACTTGTTCTTGGCACACAGTATCCATTCATTCCCCGAATATGCCCACCAGATGGTTATACCACCACAGGTGAGGGAGTGAGGGCTAATGATTTGCCATGCATAGGATGCTATAAAATGGTGGGGCTGGGACTTGAACTAGCATCGCCCAGCGTCTAGAATCTGAATATTTACTGTTCAGGCCTGCAGATATTTGTCTGAAATGGTAAATTTGCTTAAAGTCAGGACAAAGAGTTCTTTAGCTGATCTTTGCTAATCTTTTTTTTGTATGTGTGTGTAGAATATAGCAAGCGGGAGGATATTTGTACCAAGGTCATGTCTTTTGGTGTTATGGTTCTGCAGAATATCATCATCAGTGAGTTGAAAAAATGATTTTAATTTATCTGTAAGCTTCTCTGGCTGGGGCAGGGATATATTTTTAGCATACTCTTGTTGTAAAGTAGCAACGAAGCCACTTAACTCATAAACACAAGATATCTATAACAGAGAACCAGTCGTTAAATAGAGCGGAGAGTACCACTCACAACTGCGTGATTTATTAAACTAAATTTGGTATTCAAAGATATTCAGGCTTAATGAAGACAAAGAGTTTTTGTTTTTAAATCTGAAAGAAATGTCTGTGTGCTTTTATAAAGGCTTTTGGACATGAATAACTCAGGCCTTTTTGTTTCCATTTTTTCTCGAAAACTGCCCTTTTCTGTTTTTGTACCCTAGATAGAGGCGATACCACAAAGCTCTCTCATTCTTGATACTATTATTATATTGATTTGATGTCAAGTGATAATCTATGGGAAGGAAGAGAAAGGCATTCCCTGGTGAGCTGGGCTGGGGTGACAGCAGGAGATGAGGGGCTGATGAGGAGATGTGCTTCTTATAGAAGACAAGCACAGGGGGATGAGGTAGGAGCAGCCGATGCTCTGTGAGGAAGAAACTCAGCTTTGGTGACAAGAAGTAAGACAGGAGTGTGTGTGTGTGTGTGTGTGTGTGTGCATGTGTCTATGTCTAATGTATGTGTGTTTGTATGGTATGTGTGTATATATCTGATGGGCATGTGTATATGTGTGTATCTATGTCCAATGTATGTGTGTCTGTATGGTATGTGTGTGTATCTGATATGTGTGTATATGTGTATATGGTGTGTGTGTGTGTGTCTAATGTATGTGTGTGTTTGTACGGTGTGTGTGTATCTGATGTTTGTGTGTCTGTGTCCGATGTGTATATGGATGTGTGTGTATCTATGTCTAATGTATGTGTGTCTGTATGGTATATGTGTGTATATGGTATGTGTGTGTGTGTCTATGTCTAATGTATGTATGTCTGTATGGTATATGTGTGTATATGGATATGTGTGTATCTATGTCTAATGTATGTGTGTATATAGTATGTGTGTGTGTCTATGTCTAATGTATGTGGGTCTCTGTGTGTGTTTGTATGGTGTGTGTGTGTGTCTCAACATGAGGAACATGACTTTGAGGGCGTCTGGATTTTTACAGAGTGATGGGAAATAAGGACAGGGCTTGAAGCGTATTGTAACTTTCTGTCTGGCTAAGGACATAAAATCGCATCTACCCTCTATGCTGACCTTCACTTCATAGGAGAAAATGTTTTAAAAACTCACAATAAAGGGCCATAATCTGGTGCCAAAGCCCAGTTTTCTAGAAAATGCTACATTTTCCTTTTAGTTTTTATATTTTGGCTGGACTAATAAACATGCCTTGTATAGATGAATTGCCAGTTAATCAATGAGCATGCAGAAAATCCGGACTGAGCAACCAGTGGCTCTGCCCACAGCTGAGGGAGCCTTAGTTCCCAGAGGTGTGCGGCTTTCCCAGAGCAATCATGTGATTTCAGGGCAGAGCGCCTGCACAGAGACTCCAAACTCTATGTAAACCTTGTCCTGTGACATCATCATGCCTATACTCAAGTGTTTTCTACAAACTGTTCGTCCCTGTCTAATGTGGGGCTAGTCTACTGGCCACGTTCACTTCCCTGACAGTATTTCTGCGGGATGAGATGCCCATCACAGAGCAAGCCCATAGCGAAACAGCCTTCATCCTGGAGCCTCATAGGAATCTTGCTCTTTTCAAGAAGGAAGGAGTCTCACCTGATCTTTAGGTATGCCGCAGCTCCAAACACCAACAACACCACAGCGATGACTGTCACAGTGATGGCGGCGATACTGCCTGTAAGGAAAAGGCCCAGAGAAGATAATGAAAGAGTTAGCTTGGTGAGCTTTAGAGTACCCAATATCTAGCCACATCTCCTCTGGGAGAGGAAAAAGCTATTTACCTCAGACCATTCTGATGGAAGTTAGAACAAGAACAAAAGCTGGGACTTCAGTTCTGTTACTCAACTTAAAACGAAACTAAACAAAACAAAACAAGGCAGCCAAGTGAGGTTCAGTGAGCAGCCAGAACTTATTTTAGCATTTATCACGACGTGCTGGATGCTCTGGAGTACGAAGGTCAGTGCACAGTGATATCTCACACTCCTTTGAAGAGTGGTGGGGTCAGCTGCCAGCACTGCTGTCTGCAGGGCAAGGAGATTTTTTTTTTTTAATTTTTCGAGATAGGGTTTCTCCGTAGCTTTTTTTGGTTCCTGTCCTGGAACTAGCTCTTCTAGACCAGGCTGGCCTCGAACTCACAGAGATCTGCCTGCCTCTGCCTCCCGAGTGCTGGGATTAAAGGTGTGCGCCACCACCGCCTGGCTTGCAAAGACATTTTAAGTCTCCCAGTGTCCTCCTTTTCCTGTGCTGTTGGGTCCCTTGTGAAAGATCAGGAGAAAGGTGTCCTATTCAAGCGCCACTATGAAGTAATGCAGCTGAATTTTTAATAAAACTGGATCCACACAGCTGTTTCAGTAGTGTCCGCTTTGAAGGGGTCACTTCAGAAGGAGACATGCAAATTTCGCAGATGCCATAAGATCAAAGCATTTGAAAAAAACACCAACGCTTCTCATTGGGACGTATGGCCAGCATCCATATTTAAACAGTAAATTTGGATTATAGAGAATGAAGTCAAGTTTGGTATGCAAAATAAGGTCAACTGTTCAGGGAATACTTTTGTTGTCATTGCTGTAGCAACACAGTTATAAAGGGACACACATGCTTTCTGCTACAGTTTGAATCTGATTCCTAAAGCAATATTAATGGGAAGGTAAGTAGAGAGGCAGACAGACCAACCCTTTAGGCATATGACCATAGAAAAAATAACCATCCTGGCCCTAAATATATCTTTGGAGTACAGCACCCTTTCTGTATGAGTTTTTGGCTAATAATGTATATACTTTTCTTTTATTCTATGTTAGAAGTGTTAATGATCCATTAGATTCTTGTCCCCAAATATTTCAGGAGACTTTTGGTGTAATACACCTGCTTACTCTTTTAGTACACTACTTACAGATTCAACAAGTGAATGGAGCTGTTCTTAAATGCCTGGGAAAAAGCTGAGAGATCTGGAGTGAAATATGTAGACATGTATGTGTGTGTGTGTATGTGAACACGTGTGCATATGTGTATGCCATACACACATGCGTGAATAACCATGATTGGCTATGTGACCAGGAGCTATTTAGTCAGCTGGATTGACTTGCGTGTTCTGCTCATCACACACAATTATATTACAGGGAAATGAGATGTTACACACACCAGTCTGAAGAACTGTTCAGTGCATGTTCCTGGAACATTTCCTCTCCCCCACATCCTTAAAGATGAATCTCCCCCACATCCTTAAAGATGAATCTCCCCCACATCCTTAAAGATTTATCAATTGTAAGTTGTTTGGCATCTCTTTTATTTCCACCTTCCTTCCATGAATGTTTTGTGCTTATTGATTTCTCCATCATCCCTTCCACTTCCAGAAGAAGTAGGACAGGGCCAAGAAGCAAAGCCACTACTTAACTCTTTAGTAACTCCCCTCAAGTTTTAGGTGAAAGGCTACATCAGGCATCTACATTCCTAGTGGTTACAGGGGAGAGCCAAGGGCCTTTGCTAACTTGAAGACAATGAGGAGAGCTTGCTGTTTCCATGGAGACTGGCCATATCAACCACTGCAGAGCGTGCATACGCCAGGACAGCTTGCGTCTCTACATCTTCGCTTTTAGAAGGCTTTTGAGCCAGATGGGTGTAATCATCAGTGCAGTTATCTCCCCCTTTTGATGGCATTAGGAAGGTCGTGGTACCGATTGCTGCAATGCACAGATCTGGTCAAGTGGAGAAAGTCCGAGGTCACGTCCTCTTATGAAAAATCTCCACTCCTGTTTTGAAAGGCAGCTCTTAGCTTCTTGGCCTCCAAACTGTGCTGAAATTAGAACAATCCAAAGTTCACGGAAGCCTCTTACGAAGTCTGCTGAGAGCTTTCAAAGGGAGGGTTAGAACCACAAGGGAAGCTGGGGGGGGGGGCAATGGACGAGTGAGAAGGATGCAGTCGTTGTGATTAGATGCAGTTTTTTAAAAAAAACTCACCCTTTTAATTTACCCCCGGGCTCCCAAAAGAAAAGGAATATAGCTGGCTTCACCAAGAGTCTTCAACCACCCTAAGAAGTTCCATGTGGGACATTGTAGGTCTGACCTTCTTCAGGGTGTCGGTCTCCTCCACCTTACTTCTATACCCCCTCCCTTTAAAACAAATCAGGCAGTTCCCCCAACTTAAGTGCTGTTCTTTGTGTGTGTGGAGAGAGCAAGTGACAGAGTGTCTTGCTTCTCCACATCACTCTGGTCATCCAGCTCCAGGAGCAGGTGCAAATCTTCAAGGCCACCCTTCCGTGGTGGTCACAGGTGTCATCATCATTATTACCAGAGATGGAGGTTACCATTGACATTTTACTTGGTAGGCTCCTGGGGGACGCTGGGTAAAGGACCCTTTAGAGAATTGGTTCCAACAATGTGAAACAAAAGTAAAAGGCAAAATGGTTTGTGATGAAGTTTGGGATCTTTTCATGAGCCACCCTCCACACCTCCATCCCCACCCCTATCCTCACCTCAGGAGTTGGAGTCTTCTGGAAGGAGATTTAGCCTGAGCCTAGAAGAGTCTGTGTTCTGAGCTTTCCCTCAGCAGCTCTCTGTCCTGGGAAGCCTCACTTGGTGGTGGTGGTGGTGTGTGTGTGTGTGAGAGAGAGAGAGCTGCTGAGTTCCTGAGAGCACTGCTTTCTACGGTAATTGTTTTTTTCCCCCATGTGCAAACAAATGCTGCTCCCCAACTTTTGTGTAAAGCTAACCTGGAATTCCCCTTGTCATATTCTCCTTTTTATTTTTTTTTTCAAGATGGGACAAGGAGAAGAAAGAGGAGAAAGGGTTGTGGGGAAAGCTTTGCCTGTAAGGGATGTACAGGGCCTCACAGGCTCCGAGCTGAGAAAGGGTGTGGGGAAGTTTGCTGGTGTTTTTCTTCCTCCTTGAGGTCCATTATTTATTGACCAGGTGTGACTCAGGCAGTAAAGCTGTGGGATGGGCAGACGTGGGAGAATTAGAGGAAACGTATCTGCACATCGTGTAAGCCAAGACACAAGAGTGTACTGTGCCAACATGTTCTGCCCAACCAGGGAGCTCATGAAGATCCAGAAACCAAAGCCTCCGTGTAGTTCACGCCACCCCAAAGCCCGCATTTCTCAAAGAGCCCCTTTGGTCACTTGCATAATCCCCAGAAGGAGAACAAAGGGGCTCAAGGATAAGAACAGCTCCTATCTTCTGCAGGTGATTACTTTGGGCCAGTCCTTGACCAAGAAGGTTACGCCTCTCATTTAATGCATTTTTATAAGCTGAGTGGATGCACTCCAGTTTTATAGATGAGGAAGCTGAGGCCTAGCAAGACAGAGATGTTGATTAAAGTTTTACATTTGGCAACTCACGGAGCTGAGTAACATGTGAACCCGGGGTTTATTTCACCTTTTGCATTGCTGTCATCACCAAGCTAGTTACTTCCTGTAGCCTATTCCATGGACGCCTCAGCTCTTGCCTTCTTGGTTCATTTGTTTGATTTGTTTTTGTTTTCTTCCTTTATGACATAACTACGTATAAAGGCTTTTGAGGTGCTCTTCCTGACGGATGCTCTAGACCAGCTAATAACATGGCTCCTGTTTCCAAACACTGGGTTGTGGTTTTGAGCTTCTTTAGGCCGATTCTAATCATAGCCATCTTGCATCTTCTTTCAGCCTTGGCATATTTTTAGCACCAGGCACTGTCTCCAGCCCACGGTAGGCTCTTAACTCTTTCCTTCAGTGTTGAATTACTCACCGTGATACCGGCAGGGAACCTGATAACCGGAAGTTTCGACCCCAGTCACGGCACTAAGGACATTCTCAAACACAGGCAGGCTTTGCACCTCTTCATCCTGGACCCTCTGATTTAGGTCTTATCCAATCACCCACCTCTAGGACTCCATCCTTCACCTCCACACAATATAACGACGAGTCTCAAAGGGTAGCTGGAAGAGAGTTAATTTAGTAATGATTGACTAGAGATGGATTAGACCTGTGCAGAGCCATAGCAAACTCCTAAAAAGATATCATGCCCCTGCTGAGATTTGGCCAGACACTGCTCCCTTGGTCAACGACCAGAAGCAGTCCTGGAACAACCATTTTAAGGGGCTTCTTTCTCTCTCCATGCTTCTCTCTAACCCACAGATGGGTGGACTTCCTCGTTGTCCCAAACTAAAGGGTTCTTCGCATGTCAGTGCTACCTCCTGTATCCCCACTTTTAGAATTTTCTCCTTGAGTGAACTCCCCACCCCAATCAATATGAAAGAAGCCTTTCATTTGAAGTTTTTATTGGGAATATTTGTCAAATGCACCCAGAATGCCAATGCTAGGATGTGGTAAGGTGGACCTAAATATCCTATGAACACACTTGACCAGTGCTTTCACAGGTGTTGCTTGCGAACACAGGGGGTGGGACAGGCAATGGAGGAGTGTCCAAGGGTGAGGAAAAGAAGAGATCTTAGCTCCTGTACATTGTTTTGACACGTGAGCCACATAGTCAGAGGATTTGGTTCATATTGTGTGAGTGCCTGTCCCAGGTCCTGGGTGTGTGCACACACCCCCTATTGTATTAAAGTAGAGTGTGAGTGCCTGACCCGTGTCCTGGGTGTGTGCACACACTCCTACTGTATTTAAGCAGAGTGTGAGCACATGACCCGTGTCCTGGGTGTGTGCACACTCTCCTACTGTATTTAAGCTGAGTGTGAGCACCTGA